AAAATATAACTACCATACATATCTCTGTTTCCAGTGCTTATAAATATAAATGGACGTGCGCTAAAAAACACAATAACCATGAAATAATTGTTATCTTTTACTTGTAGAAATAAAGTACTGATTGGAATACTATTCTATCAACTCGTGTGAAGATTTTAAGTCACTAGTTTTCATCATTATAACGAAGTTGTAGAAATCAGTGATATAAACAGTCACATGCCTTCTTCTTAAATGGCAACATAGTCTAAACATATTTTTTCATAGTATTCCATTATACACAGCTTCAGTTCATTTGCCCTGGTATTATTACATCAGTCAGTTTCATCTGCAGATGCCGAGGGGCACAAAACCCAGTCTACAACTTGTAAGCGTTTTATTGTTACGACTTTGGAACAGTGTATATGGCAGAGCCAATCTGCCCTAGAGCAATTATGTGCTACTAATGACTGATTTACGAACTTTACTAAAATTATTTATATATCAAATTCTTCATGTTAACACTGATTTAATTAAAGCACTCGCTTACGATTAGTTATTTAAGATACGTCTCTTATCAACCGTCTTCAAAAAAATTCCACGTATATAGTTTTTGTTAGCCACAGACCTCAAGGACTTTTTAATTAATGCATCGCTTAATCCTTAATTATATCATTCTGGTTTAGTTTTTGTAATCATCATTAAGATAGCTTAAGGCTAGCGTAAGGTTATAAAAGCTAAATGTATTAATGAATGAATGAATAAAACAAATGCAGTCTGTGGACTGTGTGCTATATTTGGTAATATTGTTTTCTTTTCTCGCCGTGATACTATAATATTATTTACATATTATACTGTTAGTTTGTTATCTTAGTTGAACTATGGATTTATATAATTCAACGCCCGAGACAAAAATTTAATTTTTCGCTTAACGAAGTGAAAAAATGTGTAAACTTTCGAATAACTTTTCTCAGTGTAATTATTTAACTTTGGTAATTTTTAGTAATTACTTATTGTTATGGTAATCTGTGTGTAATTTAATACAAAAATCTTTTAAATTAAATTCGTTTAATCAATAATATATAACACCTTAATATTTTAGGAACCCCTTAAACCTTTTAGTAAATTAAACTCCGTCTTAAATTGTTCTCTGTAAATGTATGCGAAGTAAATCAGTGAAATCTTAAACGTTTCGCTGTGCTCGTAGCTATATTAAATCTGAGAACGTCACTTGAAAGAGAAAACTAAATAAACATAACATTCAAGAAATCGTATATTGTATATTTATGCGTAGAATCGTATTATCAATTAGTCAATTTTATTCCCGTTAAAATCCAGTGAAATGGAAAGGAACTATAAATATAAATAATTTATGATAGAGACCCTCAAGTGGAAAACAATTGTCTCTGTAAGCAACGGGATTTTTGAAATATAATTTTAGCGAAGTACGTCGATATAGCTTCATATCGTTTAAATCAGAGTGCTTAAAACTACACACGTCGAGATACTAGCCGACGCTTAACAAAGGTGAAAGCTTGATACCTTGCTCCAAATAAAACTCGGGCCTTGAATTAGTGAACAACTGCTAATGAGAGAACTATAATAAAGATCTGTTTCATATGCATAGAGAAAGCGTTTTGTGTTGAACAAAAATATAAAAACATACAAGAAGTTCAATTTACCTTTTCATTTAACTGCGAATAAGTCGATGTATGGAATTAGGTTACGCAATTTGAAGAGGATTTTGAATCATAATAAAAAGAACAATGGCTTTGGAGAGCTGAAAGTATTGAAAAAGTTGTCAAGTGCCCTTCACTGCTACCGCAGAGATGGCCCTTCAGAGAGCTTCGATCGCCTCTCGCTCGCCGTTTTAATCCATTTTTTTAGTTAGTGTAAACATTTTAACTTACTTATTTTTATAATAAATTTTACTGAAAAATAGTATTAATATTTAATTTCATATTGCTACTATATTAATAGTTGTGTAATAAAGTAAAGCTTTATTAACAGTGTGTGATTATACGTTAGAATCTTTATTCTAACGTATAAAGATTTTAACGGTTAGTTTTAAGATTAGTGACATGGGGAGTGCAGTGACACAATTGTCTGTATTTATTATTTATAAGCCATAGAATATTTAGAGTAAGGAGATTTTAATTGTAATTACATGTGAAAGTTAAGGGTTTCACATTCTCTGTTCTTCAGGAGAAATATTACATCCTAGTGTTACACAATTGACGCGGTGTCCCGCCATTAATTTTGTTTATATAATTCAATTCTCCAGATTTTGTTACTTGCTCTAAGCTTTTGTATTTGTAATTTGCAGCATTTTATGTTTGTGTAACAAATTGAATAAGCAATGATAAATAGTTTGTAATTTCGTATTATGAAACTTGTTACAAATTGTAAGAAATGTATTTTGACCTTTAAAATATATTGGACGTAAAATTAATCGTCATGTTCAACACGTAACTATCGGTTAGTTAAAAAAAGGCTTAGTGGAGGACAATCATGTGTTATTATCAAATATAAGTTTTGGTATAACTTAATTTTCATAATTTTGATTTTACTTGTTATTCACTAAAATTTTAGTCAAAGAAAAGATTTTTTTAGCTTAGATTATAAATACTAAATATATTATTATTAAATGACGTCTGATGCAGAATTTGAATATTTGTTACTGTCACCAGTTATACAATTCCAACACTTTCTACACACTTTATTCTTCACGCTTATAAGTCTTTAATAAATAGAGTAACTTGATATGTTTTAAATCTTTATTGATAGTATACAATGTATAATAACCAAACCAAAATAAAGATATAATTGTATAATTGACAATATCTACAGGTGTTTAAAGTGCTTTCAGGGCAGTTTTTTCGATGTTAATAATTAATTAGCATTAACCTAATGTAGATTATAAATATGGAATGTAATGATCTGGCATCTATATAATTATTAACGTACAAGTAATTTTGCAGTGCGTGAAATGGAATCACATTTGAAATCCTTATTTTATATCTTAATTCGTTATTTTACGTCTTTAATAATGCCTATTTTAATAAATTATAGCAAAAACTTTGGACTTTACTATATTTTTAGAATCTTACTTTTATTACATGAGACACAAATTTTATATGAAGTAAAACTAAGACCAACTTCCATATGTAATGTATTCCAATGTACGCTAAATAGATAAATAAGCATTGAGCGATCTTAAATCTCCCTTCTCCTGCATACATTATAATTTTAATAAAGTATTCTGCTTAATTTTCTTTATATCACTTTAATGTACAACAATCCTAAATAAGTTTTAAATAGAAACACAGTGTATGTATCAGTAGATACAAAATTATCAACGGGTTGGGTGTTGAATACCACCGCACTTTTTTGACGATACTAATTATCTAGGAGTGTCGGGGGACCTTCATTGGAACACCTCCAAGTGAGTTTTGCTACAGGAAACGCGTCTAAGTATTTAAAAAAAAAATTTAAAGTTTTGTGCAATGTATTGAAATTTGTAAACAATCCGCCATTTTCTACTTTTCTATTGGTTATAAGAGATGTGACGTTCACTTTAAAAAATCGTTTTTTAATTTATCGATTGTTACTAATCGTTTTATTTATTTATCGATTATTTCCTCATTTTTGAAATTTAAAGTTATAGAATAATCAACATTGAAATTAACCTAATTTCGTGTTGATAGATTATAGAGATCCGAAATTTTTTGAAATTATCGATACCTACTCGTCTGTATTTCCTAATTAGTACTTGTATTTCATTGTTTGCAACTTTCTATATTATTTAATTTTTACTAGAATAAAGTGTTTACTTTAATATCCAAAAAGTACCCAAAACCGAATCAGAGCACCCCACTATCTACGTGGTCTTGTCTGTCTTACCCCTAGAGTGTATATAAATAATCGGAGGCGCGGAGGATATATAATGCCTGTGCTTTGGTACGTAAGGGTGGAGGGGCTGCATTTCCCGTAGCGCCGGAGCTGTCCAAAAAAACAAATATTATTTAGATCGGTTAGGTTAGGTTAGTATATGAATATTTGGTCGCCGAAGGCGACCAAGACGCCGGGTTGGGGGGGCTTGAATAAACAATTATTATTTAGATCGGTTAGGTTAGGTTAGTATAATATGAATATTTGGTCGCCGAAGGCGACCAAAAAGCCGGGTTGGGGGGGCTTGAATAAACAATTATTATTGAGATCGGAGCTGTCCAAAAAAACAAATATTATTTAGATCGGTTAGGTTAGGTTAGTATATGAATATTTATTTTTAAAATAACTGTTCAACTGAAACTGATCAACTATGATTGATTTTCAATAATTTTTAATATTAAAATCGAATACAAAAATCGATTTTCACTTTTAAAGAAATCGATTATTTTTCACATCCCTATTAATTTTATAAACGTTACTTAAAAAACGATTATTAACAATCGATTAATTAAAAAACGATTTTTTAAAGTGAATGTCACATCTCTTATAACCTATAGAAACGTAGAAAATGGCGGATTGTTTACAAATTTCAATACATTTCACAAAACTTTAAATTTTTATTAAAAATACTTAGACGCGTTTCCTGGAACAAAAATCACTTGGAGGTGTTCCAATGAAGGTCCCCCGAGACTCCTGCATAGTTAGTATCATCAAATAAATGCGACGACATTCAAAACTGTTACCTTATCAACAATTGGCACGAAAATATAGCCGTTAATTATAAATAACCCGTCATTAAAGTAATCTAAACAATAATAGTAGGTATTAATGTTTCGTACAATTGGCACAGAGTAAGTACTATCTATTATGTTCTCTAAATTTTAACTACTCATTTAAATCATCAATTTCAATGAATTAGTATATATTATGCATTTATGCATAACAAATGTTATTCCTATACTGATTTTGGCTGTTTCAATAAATAAAAACCGTCGAAAGAGGTCATTTGCTCCCATATTAGGACAACAATCCCAATAAATTCTTATATACGCTGAATTCTATTTAAACTAGAATTAAAAGTTTTGGTTAAGAAATAAAGGTACTAAGAATAAGATGTTCAGAGAAAGACAAGGTGCGCCATTTTCTTTGGCTGGAAGAAATGAACTTGGAGCAGCTGGTGACGCATGCTCATGTAGTTTGGACTCATCAACTCCACTACCTTCACCCTCATCTTCATCATCATCAGGAGGTATGGTCGCGTGTTTTAACGCTTCAGCCCGTGGCAACTTAGGAACGTGTGTTGAGTTTTTAGTCGTAGCGCTCGTAGAGGTCACGAGAGCTATTGAGGTCGATGTCGTATTTGCAGTTATCATTTCATAAATGGCTTCGTTACTGACGTTAGCGTACGTCGTGAATTTCAAAAATATCTCTGTCAAATTGGCATCGCTATTCGCCGGAAAGTTTGTTGAAAAATTGAGCAGCTCGTCCCGTAACTGTTGATTGTAAGGCGCATTGCAGAGATTGTCATCACATATGCAGGTCAACAGATATTCAGTTTTGTATTCCAACACACAAGGTGACTCTTGAGCCGCTCCGCAGGCAAGAGTAATCGTTAAATCTGTAAGGAAAAATATTATTGAATGCATAATAGACATATTTATACAAGGGAATACTGCATATTTTCTAAATATCATTCTGTGCTATCTAGCTGAATGTATGGTAGATTTGTTTCATTTAATATATGTATATTTACAAACAATCATAATAACCGTAAAAGTCTAATCTGATTGTATTACCAATTTAAATATTCAAAGCACTACGATAGCAATTAGAATTCAATTAATAATAGAATATTTGAATTAGGTCAGAGGGTAAGAACTTACTAGGAGCTGACGCAACTGTAGTGCAATAGGGTTGTTCATCTGGACACATGCCGATCCGACTGGCATTTGAGCTTAAATGACATTTTCGAGGCTGGTTACCTGCTGACAACGATTTTGTTTGTTACTGATGGTTATGACAATAAAACACTATTCAATTTTACTTTTAAGTAGATGTTTTCTGGATTCAAAATTAATAAACACGTTTAAAAATATTGTCTATGGTTGTAAATAGTTTTTGTAAGCTTGATCTGAATTAAATCGCATTAAATGTAGGTTCTAAACTTTTTTGTTATCATAAAGTGTTATGTTATTATGTGGTGCAATGGTTGCAAACATTTTTTAAAACAAAAAACTTGGCGATTAAAGAATGGCGGAGAGTTTATTGCCAGTTCTCCTCGTCCGTTCTACGCCCTTGATTTGAGAACTGGCAGTAAATGTAAAATTAGAAGCATTTGGCATTTAATATTTATTTCTTTATTGAGGTTATAAGTGTACATTGTGTTACCTAAATGAATAAATGATTTTGAATTTATTACAATTATGAAACGAACTGAACGGAACCAATTTTTAAATTCTTATATTCTTTTAAGTTACTAAGTCACTATCTCTTAAAAGCACGCTGCGAATTTCCACCTAATAAATAACCAATGAACCGTAAATTCTAGCCACAAGATCAAGCTCTAACTCTATTATATAATCTTAGTATTAGTACCGAAACCTAATCAAGTCTATATTTATTACGATTGTGTTGTGCAGCACGTTTCTAATTTGCTTTGTGCACTTGGAAAGGAAGACTGCACAATATATGTATAGGTATGTCAAGGGAATAAGTTAAGGCTTACGATAAATATCTTCGTAATATGTTTTTGTATTTTCGTAACTATATTTTAATAGAAAATGGCTTTTATTCGATGCAATGCAAAATATAAAATACATAAATTACGTTATTTAATAACTTTATTGTTTTAACTTAATAAGTTAAAAAAGTCCCGAGGTTTTACACGGTGAGACTGTCAGACTACCGAATTAATTATATTTAATAACACGGTGTTAAAACGTTATTTTTAATATATAATAATCTGCCCAATTGTTATATTTTTTTATTTGCTTTTGCAAAAATACTTTTATGAAAAGCGTGTGCATAAACATACATTCCTTTTACCGCAATTTTAACTGACTAAACTGTCCTTTGCCTCTTTAATCTCCGCATTTCCTATTTTTATTTTCTCGGTGACCCAAAAACTGTTGGAACGTGTTTGGACTAAATTCAAGCTATTTATACGATATATTTTAAACGCTTTTGTATAATGGTCTTATCCATTTAATTTTTTCTTTGCCACGTTAACGTTTAATGTTTAGTTTAAATTACACAAATATGGTGGAAGATACAAGGATTTTTTTAAATAGCTTTAAAAACCCATGCGTGTAGTTTATATTAAAGGTTGTATTTTTTTTTAAAGGTTGGCGGTAGGCGTTATGCGTCCGATTGAATGTTTCGTCGGGAAAAGAACTCGGCGAAACAATGCCGTTAATAAGCAAATTAATTTATTCACTACAATGTTACATTTTTCAAATGAAAAGTCAAATAAAAAGTTCATGTTTTACAAAAGAGTCTCTATCAAACCATTAAGTCTCATGACTCGAAAAGGTAAAGAATAATTGTTAGACTCATAAAAAATTCAATCATCGTTACAATAAAGTTTATGAATACTCCAACACGGCGCGTTGCTTGGGGATTTCGACCGCAAACTTTTATATTCTGAAATCAACATAACAATCACGTTTGTTACCTGAATTATACGGAAACATCTTAAAATACCGTTATTTGAATAATTGTTGAATATTTTGGTACATATTTAAAGATGTTTATACAATGAGGTTAGTCTTCAAAATTTATTTAAAGTTCTATATTTATCGCATAAAGTTCGTTCGTTCTTAGATAATATAGGCATAAAGTAATTATTTGTTAAATTGTTAAAAAATATATTTATTTCATATAAATAGATTTCGGCATACTGAAACCGTGGTGATGCCGACTTTTATAGCTTAACAAAGAAATATTTGGTGCCTTGCGGGACGATATACGCTACTTTAATACAAAATTTGCCGAGGACACAATTTAGCAAAACAAAGGCTGACAAGGCAAGACGGTGTAGAAGTCTCTTCTATTCCCGATATTGAGAGACATTATGAGAAGCTTTATACCTCTTCTATTATGCCTTTGACGTGTCTAATGACGCACAAACTCGACTTACCCGATATTACACTAAAGACATATCGGATATCAGCTAATATCAGATAAGGATGGCTCTGATATAATTAAATAATAATAAAGCACTAGGCGATGACGGAATAACCACTGAGCTGCAATCCTCAGAATGCTTCCGAAAAGCCTACAGTACGATCAACCACATACATACGCTTAGGCAGTTCGTACAGAAAACCGAAGTGTACATTTACCACTATGCCTAGCGTTTGTGAACTATGAAAATACGATCGATTCCATTGAGACTTGAGCTGTGTTGAGATCACTACAAAGATGCCGTATACATCGAGTTGCTACAATAACAGAGCCACTATCACATTCAGAGCAATGCACTAAGGCTATTCCACTTAAGCGAGGTGTCAAACAGGGCGATGTTATATCCCCCAAACTTTACCGATGGAATGGAAGATGCCTTCAAACACCTTGAATGGAACTATCAAGGCCTTAATGTCAATGGCAAGTACATGTTACACCTCCGATTCGCGGATGATATCGTTATCATGGCAGAGTCTCGGGAAGATCTCAACCGAATGCTCTTCGACCTTCAGAAAGTCTCAAAACGAGTAAATCTTGAAATAAACATGGATAAGAGAAAAATTATGTCGCGCCTACTCCAGTAACATTGGGGAACATAATTCTAGTGGTAGAAGATGAATACGTTTACTTAGGCAACTTACAATGCAATTAGGTAAATCCTTCAAAAAATTAAAAAGTGTATTTCCAGCGATTTCGCACCCTCAATGCTTAAAGTCAAAAGTCTCTTACCAGTGACTGCTCTGAGATTTGGTATCTTACTTTAAGCCTGGTACACAAGCTCCGCGTCGCTCAATGAGACCCGTAGATGAACTAAATTCACTGATATAGCAAAAGGCCGTATAATTAAATGGCAATGGGGGGGTCGTATTGCCCGAAGAACGGATAGCCGATGGGCCAAAAATTCCTGGAATGGAGGAAGAGTACCAGTCGGCGAAGCGTTGGACGGCCCACTTGGGGACAGATGACCTGGTGAGGGAAGTAAGGCGAAAAGCGCGGGGTAGCGGATACTGGAAATTTAAGTTAGAGGCCTATGTCCTGCAGTGGTCGTCAACAGGCTGAGACGACGAAGTGTCTGTCTAACCGCTTCGTAATGCACGATTCGATTATTCGAGAATCGCAATTATTGTTACGGATTGTTAGTTCCGATCACCTGCCTTACAAAACATAAGTAATAAGCAAAGAAATGTTTTACCCTATACGTGACGAGACGTGATTTTAAACGAAACATATTCAAAGTTTACCTTTGTCCAATAACATCATTTAAGTACGGTCTGTGAAACAGCCTGAGAGTACGAAGTAAAGTAATTAAACTTGTTAACCCAACATTAAATTTATTATTCGATATGTCTACGTAATGCGGCACGTAAAGTTTACTACTTTATCTTTGTTTTAATTAGAAATACAAATATTCGAATAATAGGAATTTTACTACTATTCAACAATTCACGAAGCTTAAGAAATGAATTAGACTGACGCCGCGTGTTACTTTAATCTTGTTGTGTTATATTATATATAAATTAACTAATCAATTAAGATCAAACAAGGGAAATTCCTACACAGATAAAACAAACATATAAATAATACAAACTTGTATGTGGTAAAGCACCAATCCTCGTATCCACTATCAGTAGCATCAATAAACAGAAGAACATAGCACAAGAAAACATCTTTATTCTCATCCCTACGGATATTTATAACTAGCTCGCTTGATATTAATTCAATAATTATTTTTTATGACTATTGTAACGAATCATTCATAAATGGTTCCAAAGGAAAATTTCAATCAATTACCATAACATTAAACGAAAAAACGATATTGTTACCAATGACGCCGACTTTTTAATATCTAAACCAATATATTTACATCTGATTTTATACTAATAATCTATAAGTGTTTCTGTAATATACGAATAAAGTAATAAATGATGTATGTTAATAAATTAATCACGTTTCCATTAGCTCTCGTAGCCCACTTAATAATTAACTTCGATTCGCGATCTAGCTACGACGTAGCGTTGCTCGTTGGCTACGTCCCGTAGACGACTGACGTAGCTCTAGTGGCTTGTAGCCGACATCCCGGACAACACTTCAATCAGAATACGAATTGAATAATTTTATACCCGAGATAATGAAATTAGGAAATCGATAGTTTAACGATTATAACTTTAACCCTTAAATATGTTGGTACAATGCGTTTATACTAAAATATAGCAATAGGTAACTCGAACTCTAAAATATTGACTTTTATCTAATTCTATAATTATGTTGCTTGTCAGGAGTCTGTACCTAAATTTGTACTTGATTTACACATTAGTTTTCAATTGATCATATTTTATGACACACAACCTAAAGACGCGAAATTATATATTACGAAATACTTTGCTGCTATACATAAATTTAATTAATTAATCGGAAATTAGTCGATTAAATATTGCGTAGTTGTGTGGACTTGTTATACCGTAATTGAAAATAATTATCCAAAAAGCAATTAATGCGGCTTATAGCAGTCATTTCGATTGTATACTCCCATGTTGGTTTATAGTATAAAATAATTAAAAAGATAACGATAAAGTTTACAATTATATATTAACATCTTGGTTTGTAACTGTTTTTCTTTACAATCGTATTTCCGTTCTAGACATCACCATATCCCGTTAAATTTATATTAGTTCTCAGTAGCAAAGTGTAACAATAGAGAAACAAATCCATTCCATTAACATATTCATGCACAAAAACTTTCGCATTAATAAAATTAAAAGGATAGGATTTCAGATTCCATTTTCACATACCTTTGAGCACGAAAGTTTGAAAGGATATTCCGCATTGCGGAAAGACGCTGAAAAGAAGTAATTATTTATTACCAGCTGGTGCTCACGACTTCGTCTACGTAGATCTAAATAGAGAGTTAAACATAGCTTATACTTTTAGAATAGCTATTTTTTCTTTTATAATACATATTAGGATGGGTATATCCAGACAGATAAATCTCAGGGAAAGGTATTCGGAATAACCATGAGGGCGAAGGGAGGCTGGGAGGAATGTAACATTAATTGGCAATCTCCGTATCCAAATGCCCTCGCTCGAGTGTTATCCTCAAATATATTAGTTACCGTTCATTAGTGAGATGGTTGCATAATATTGTATATTATGTATGTGCGGAACTATATGCGTTTTTATAGAGTACCTTACCTACGCTATTTAATGAAATTTTCATGTGTATGGGGTAAATAAATTAACCACCATTTTTCAAGTGAATTAATTGTATTTAATGTTTTGTTACAATTCATTTATAATATAACGAAATAAACATATGTGCATCAAATACAAAGCCACCAAGCGCACTGACTGCGTACCTACGCACACATTCGCGCGAATCCTGCAAGACCAGTTTTCTGCAGTTCTGTGCGAGTGACGATAATATGATATCGATGTAAAGTGTCGATAAAAAATACATTACATGTATATGCTACATGTGCATTATTATGTTAAAAAAAACATCCTTATTTTTCTTATTAACGAAAAAAATGGAATATTAATTATTTACAATAATATTTACCCTATCCTGGCTTTGTTGATAACGCACTTGATCTTAGGCTCAATTTCTGGCGAACAAAGTGTCAGCTTTAACTCTTAATGTGAACAATGGTAATTTAAGTCATGAACTAATTCATCAGAATGAAATAATACGCTAGCTGTAGATCCTAATTTAAAATTAAGAAAACTGTGCAGACTTTTACGTGATGTAAGTTTAAAGCTAAGTGTGTGGATTCCATTAAAGGACTTCGAAACTTAGTAGGAAAATATTCGCCCCAGGAGATGAAAGTTTGGAACACGAGTTTCATACAGCTGTAATTTTATATCTTTAAATAATGATGAATGGGAGGATGATGCTAACGAAGAATATTTAATTCTTAATTTATTCAAGTTAAGAATTAAATAATATCAAGATGTTTTAAAAATGATTATTGTATCTCGAGATTAAAATAATTGTTATATAGTTTAAAGTTTGTTATATGCTATTATTATTTAAATTGATATGAGAATGTTGCCGTGCATAAAATTTTAATTAAAGATATAATCATTTATCAGAAACCGTCGTGAAATGTTCAGACGAAAAGGAAACGGCGCTCACACGTAGATGTTTAATGAATTAATTAATGAGTATGGAATTCTTTGTTTGATATTCGTCTGTGGGCGACACTATTGTTATTTTTGTAATAAATAACTATACCTATTGTTTTTCTTTTAGCAATTATAATTCCATGAAGGTTTCTAGAGGAAAAAATTACGACATTCACTGGTTTCATTCGACGTAAATGGCGGACAACCTTTCGAAATTACAACAATAAATAATCCACTTCTTAAAAGATGTTGGCATCAAATTGCACTTGCTTCTTTGATCATGTATAGTTTGTATATATAGAACATCATCTTTTGTAGGCAACTCATAACATGTGATCGGCTCTTTGCTTCGATTTTTTACTCTAAAAAACCGAGAGTAATGATATGTTTAATTACTAGACACAAAGTAATAACAGTATGAACTACAAAATATAGATATTGGGTTGGCAATCCAAAGCAAATAGAAGTGAGGATGCCCGAATGAGTTCAAAACGTAATGGAGTCGTAATCAAAGTGAAAACGGTTTAATCAGGCGACTGAGTTGGCTCAGCGACGGCCTAATGCAATTATCTGCGTAGCCTTCGCAGATGCCAACGATACCTAAATTTTTAATATCAAATGGATTTGATATTAAAAATTTATATTTGGATACCATAAGACTGCTTTATATAAACGCGATATTTTACATTACGTACATAATTGGATGTTTCAATTGTAATAAGAAAAATGACAAGGTGCGATTTTATGTTACGATGTTTAAAAATTTTTCGTTCTTAATTTATTTTCTTCTGGAGTTACCTTAGTAAATTAATTTTAAAGAAAAAGGTTTTATAGGATTATATAATTTATTTACACTTAATAAAAAATATCCCATGACCCACAGCGTCGATTCTCTCTATCTACATGTACAATGTATTTATTTTAAATTAACAGTTGAATTCATAACGCGTATCTTACTCCTAACTTCGAAAACTAATATAACACGAAATACTAACGCCCCTAGAATATTGACTTCGACTAGATTGTTAGTCTATTCTGCAGATATAAAAATATTTTAAACATGTGTATGTTATATGTTTGGTATGTTCATAGGTTTTATTAAAGTACTAGCAGACTCGGCCAAGCGTTGCTGTGGATAAGGTTTTTGTTATATTACATAGTAGTAAACTATTCAAAGGAAACGGCAAGAAAACAACAGTCATGGGGATCACCATGCTTTTTTGGTGGCTATGCCATTAAATTGTAGCTTATGTGAAACGTTGGTAATTTCAACACAGCGCCATCTGTTAGAATTGTGACTATCAAATAATAAACAAATATTTTGCAATAAAATAATATTGCGGGTATAAATTGAGATGTAAGCTATCCTATCTTTTACGTTGGATCAAACTATACACGGTGTGCAAATTTGATTGATATCGGTTCGGTAGTTTAGGAGTCCATAGCAGACAAACAACGTGACACGTAATTTATATATTTTAAGATAATGAAATACTATGCCCGTAAAGGGTTTTTTTTTAATATATGGGCCGGAACACATGATAATGAATAACATAGGCAAAGCTTCAACAAACCGATAACATTTTGATGAATTACTTACATTTATCAGGCAATTGATCACACAATTTTGAACGGTATTATTTGATCGTGAATAAATCGTGACACTAAGCGTGACGATATTTCACAAATTATCTGTGTAAATATTGTCTGCTTAACATTTCGAGAAAAATCGATTCATTATTAGTGTTTGAAAGACATTTCACTTTTATGATATTAACATACTTTTAGTGCGTGATGAACTATATATATGACTCCTAGTACATAAGTTTAAATATAACACAATTACATTACAATTCTTACACAAAAATATTACGATACTTAAATATGGTGGTTATCAATCTATTACAATCGTATCGTATAAAAATATACAAAAATGCTATGGCATACGCCTTCCCCATTTATCACAAGAGTTGCCTAAATCCATCTACCTACGCAATAATAATTTTATTGATGACGGCACATACTTATCGACGTCATCTTCGTATATTTTGAAATGGAAAACTTGCAGCGAAATTTTAAAACACAAAAGCCTTAAATATATCATATCGTCATACAATTTCCTGCTGTATTGTTTATTACTTTTAAACATACTTGATTGATAGCTTTAAGCTTTCAAATACTAAGCATTGGGACTTGGTCTTCGAAAGAGCTTCCTAAGACATTAGCTAGGAAGAAAATGAGAGGAAACGACCGCTTGTAAGAGCACGAGGAGATGAATACCTAAACATATAAGGGTGGATTAATGAACTTTCTTACAATTAGAAGCCAATTCACCCTACGCAACATTTATAGATAAAACATGTTTGTACGTGATATTTTATGTATACCTAATCACAAAAACCTACCGATTTTGATAAAACTAAACTATTTTTAAATAGGCAATAATGTTAATGAACTTCTAGTATGACTATTTTTGGACATCTATCCAATACAGATACCTTGACAAATGAAATGTTTCGACAATTTGAAGCCAGAATTATGTGTTCAAATGTTGGGTGCCTTCCAATCTAAACATTTTTAGTTTGAAATTTGAAGCTCGCAGCGAAGCGTTTATTTGAAAATATTGGGCAATATTAGTTTATAGTCCTCACTAATCTCGTCAATAGAAAAGTAAAAGCTTGGAGAGCAATGGACAATCTATCAACTATCAATAGCAAAGTATTACATGTAAATCAATTACTGAGAATCATTGCGTGTATGCCTGGATGGACCACTTCCCTGCCTATTAATATTCATTCAACGTGATCGGATTTCTGTTAAATCATCCCTATACCTAATGGTCAAATACAATATTATTATGAGGCATTGGATATTAACGTTCATAATACATTGAACCTAAATATGTCAAATCACAATCGAGCGTGGTTAAAAGCTTTTTAAACTATGTAGCTTTTTTACTTTTATAAAACATTTTTTTTTAATACAATCAATATATTTATTTAATATTACTGTACTTACTGTAATGTGCCACATGGTAAATTGATGGAAATACTTCAGAGAATTGGCTTAAATTATAAGGATTGCCGTTTCATTAAAGACCTATATTCGAAGCAAAGTGCCAATATAAGAGTAAAGAGCAAATATTCATCATATATCGAGATTCAGAGAGGTGTGCGTCAAGGTTGCATTTTATCACCCTTGCTATTTAACTTGTATGCCGATGCAATATTTTCAGAAGCCCTAGGATAATTGTCCACATGGCATAGCAATTAATGGCAAACTGCTGAATAACTTAAGATACGCTGATGACACGATCTTAATCGCAGAGAGCCTCGATGGTGTACAGACTTTAGTCAATTAAGTTGCCGCCGTGAGTTCTAAATTTGGAATTATCATCAACGCGAAAATGTCAAAATATATGACAATAAACCGAACACCGAAGTTTTTCACACAACTTATACACCTCAACATTGATCGATGAAAAGGGTGAATCCGCTGCAGAATTGAACAAACGCGGAACGCCTTGTCGAAACTAAAAAAAGTACTTTGTGACAAGCGCCTAAATTTACAACTTTTAAATTTAAGCGCATTGCGCGATGTTACGTCTTCTCTGTTCAAAAAATACGACCTCCTTCAACTGATCATACATATACAAGGCAAAGTGGCACGTAGAAGGGGACCTGGCCGCAGACGCACGTCTTGGCTGAAAAACCTAAGAAACTGGTTTGGTCAAAGCACTAAGTTATTGTTTAGAAGCGCGGCATTCAAAATTAAACTAGCCATGACGCCAACCTTTGCAAGGATGGCACTTTAATAAAAAGTACTTACTGTGTGTGATAAGCAGATAGCCTTCCGTGCCTACAAACCCAAAATAATGTATTATTTCGTAAGGAATGACTGAATTTTCTAAAACAGTTTTTTTAATAACAGCCGTAAACAATAAAAAATCTTAAATAAGTAAGCACTTAAATCACGTGAGCATATATAATCATAGTTTCCAAAAATTAAAGTCAATATTAAATAATTTATGTTTATATTATCGGCTTATATCTATAAAAATAATTGTATGAGTTACTGAAATATAAATAATGTGATCAATGATATTAGTCGACGGAGCGTTCACGCCCTTTCGTTCCACTTCAACGAAGAATTTGCCTTCATTGGCTTATTATCGATAAATCGGTTAATTAGTAAATTCAAGGTCGTTATTATAATATAATCCCGATACTAAAAAATTCGAAGATACTTTAAGAATTGCGTATATTTATCAGTTCAGTAGAATATCTGAATTTAAATCTAGAACATTATCAAGTGTTTTAAATAAAATTCCAGTGGCGTAACAACTCTTGGTCTTGGCCCGAGATTTCTGTATGTTTCGTGATATTTTTTTGTCTTAAAGGCAAGTAGCTCTCTGTTTCCAACAAACGCCGTCGACTTTTGGGTCAAAAGCATGCGGGTTTGATCAAGATGTTTTTCTTCACTGTAATAGCGATTGTTTGAAGGTCTATTGGAGCTCAGCCATGATTCAAACACACAACCTTAGTGTTGAGTTGCGTATTTAAGATACTAGGCCAATTATTTGAAATAAATAATATCAGCTCATAATTAGTTATTTTTTCTCTCTCTATATACTTGGTAATTTCAAAAACTATATTTGAAACTAGAACAAGCTAGGATTAAATTTGTTACAATTAGGTCTAGTATAACTGTACAATATGGTATGGTACTTAGTACCTCATAAAGTATATTCTGAAATTGAATACCTATCACACCTCTCCACAATTAGCCGCTGCTAGAACAACTATGAATCTGGTTTAACATGTAAGTAATAATCAAGTCTTAAATATATAAAATATTACAGTCTAACAGGAATTTGTAATAAAAACAGCTCAAACTATATTTTACAAAATGTCATTATAATTAATAGATCTCTTGTGGAGGTGGTCTGCCAAATAAAAGTTTCCATGAGGCAGGTTGCATGAACTGAGTGGTAGGATTTTGATCTCTATCCAAAAGTGGAAAGATGTTTTGAAGTTGTTCTACCATATCATATGCATCAGGTACATTGTCTCCTTCTGAGCAGTATTTATAAACACACAAACATGGTAGAGATTTCTCTTTACATATATTAAATAGAATCGCAGCATACCCACCACCAAATATTTTAATGTCACTTTCAGGTTGTTCATGTGGAATTAAGTTTGCCATCTGAATCCGCTCTGAGTAAGGTGTGTTATTGCTTGCAATAAATCTGAATGGTGATGTCATTATGTGCTTTTTCTCATGCGCAAAACTACTTGATAGTATTATGATATCTTTAATTTGCTTTTGCTGAAACTGGTCTACTAAATTTTCCAAGAAACTTCGCGCTCGTTTTTGTATAAGTGGAGATCTGACTTGAAGAACAAGCAAATTGTGAATAGCCGATACATATAACTCACAGGCGGTTGCTAAAGTATTTGAAGCCAAATTGTATGGGTCACATCCAACTAAAGGAACTTGAGCTGTAGTATAAATCGAAGCTAGCTTTTCCATCCGTAATGTAGCGATCAAAAGATCACACGCAAGTTGTGCCACATTTCCAACAGCTACGCTGGGCACTACTAGGGTGTAATTGGTCAGGTCATAATTACTCGACCATTTCCAACTATTTTGCAAATCCATGTTTCTTTTTCTAAAAATCAGACAAGATCTTTAAGTCGATGTTTTGCTTAAATTATCGTTTTAATAGTTGGGATATACAAGAATAATACAATTGATACACTTTATTTACAGCAATATTTTTAATATATCATTTTTAATTTTAACTCACCAAATAGTTAATACTAATTGACAGTTCACTGTTCAGTTGTAACTTGTAATTCGTATGACGTAGGTAATTCGCAAGTGTTCCGAAGACTGATGACAACTACATATTATTTTTATTCTCAACATGACATTGCAGATTCTTTCAAATATTCATTCTATCTTAGCCAAGTATTTTAATATTTTTTTAATGTCATTCCCATGGTACCGACGAGTGATTTTGCCAGTAAATACTAATAATCAAAGCAGACTTATCCTAAACTATTTTTTTTTTAAATTCGTTAAATAATGTCTCAAATTATTAGGGCTAGCGCGCACCGGTGACTTTTGTCAGCATGACAAAAAAGTTTTTGTCGCTGTCACGTCACGCCTCCAAAGCGAGGTGCGCTCACGAAAGGTGACAGTGACAAGTTTTTTTTAAAACCTTCATTTGTCGAAATGGTTTCGACGAGACGGTCGTCACTGTGAGCTTATAAGGAAACTCTAAAGAGAAAAAGAGAATACTGGGTACACCCCCTTTGGAGTGGCGGTTAATAAATGGAAAGTTCAACCAGTTTCATTTGACATCCAAAGAAATTTTTTGGTATTTCGGGTAGGTTTGTGATGGGGGGGTTTCCCCCGGGGGGGGGGGGGGGGGGGGGGGGATGAAGAGACGGTCGTCATCTGTGAGCTTATAAGGAAACTCTAAAGAGAAAAAAAGCGAAAAGAATACTGGGTACACCCCCTTTGGAGTGACAGGTTAATAAATGGAAAGTTCTACACCATGTTTCATAAACTTCGGGAACATCCAAAGAAATTTTTTGGGTATTTTCGAATGAGTGTTAGAAGTTTTGATGAATTACTTCGCAATTTAGGACCTGCGTTGACATACGAAAATACAAACATGAGATTGTCTGTTCCGGCTGAAGAAAGACTCGGTGTTACTTTGAGGTAAATATAAGTAATTAGAATATTATGTAATTTTAAATTGTTTATTTTAATGAAAATACAAAAATGTTATACAAATTAAAGTAAGTAGTTTTTAACTATAATCAAAAATCAAAAAAGTAATTGAAATGTAATATTCTTTAATTATTCTTCATGTTGGTTGATATTGTACTCCTGGCAGATGTCATACAATTCGGAATCTTCTGTAAACTCTGTAATATAGGTTTGAATTGATGACGATGAGGCGGCTGAGGAGTTTTTAGGGTCTTGCTTAGGAGGCGATGATTGTGAAGATGAATTCGGTTGAGTGTGTGCAGAGGGTAGCAAATTTTGGGAACTGGTAGATGTATGAGTAGGAGAAGAGATAAAACAAGTTGAGTGTTTCTTGCTAAGTGGAGCGGATTTTGAGGAATGTGCGATGGAAGAGAGACAGAATATTTGGGTTTGATTTGCATATTTTGAGGGCTTGAAGATGGAATATATGTAGGAGAAGGAGATAAAGTCAGTGGAGTGTTTCTTGCTAAGTAGAGTGGGCCTTGGGGACTTTGCGATGGTAGAGAGACAGAATATTTGGGTTTGATTTGCATATTTTGAGGGCTTGAAGATGGAATATATGTAGGAGAAGGAGATAAAATCAGTGGAGTGTTTCTTGCTAAGTGGAGTGGGCCTTGGGGACTTTGCGATGGTATAGAAACAGAATATTTGGGCTTGATTTGGAAATTTTGAGGACTATCTGTATAAATTGTGGATGGGGGATAATTATTGCGCTGAGTGTTTTGTTTCTGAACTTCCTGGAAAATTTGTAAAATTTTGATCTGTACGTCTAGTTTTTTCTCCTCCGGGACTGCTTTTAACAACGGCACCAAAGACAGCGCAAAATGCTTTTCCTTGTCATCGTCATTACAGTCACTTTTGTTATTTCTCATAGTCTCGATAAACCTGTTATCATCAACTCTTTTGTTGTTTAAAATCTCTAGAAGCCTTTCTTCGTAACATATTTTATTCTTATTTTTCTTTCGGGAATATTCTTCTCGCTGTAGTACTTCCACACTGGCATCTTGACTATCTTCTTCGCAAGCAATTTCCTCTACAGAATCAGCATTTCCTGAGGTTTCTCGGGTATCCATGCTTGGGATAAGAAATAAAAGTTGGTCAAAATGTTTGTACTTTCTTCTTTTTGTAGCGGCCTGGCCAGACTTAGTACATTTTTGCTCACGTAGCTCACGTGAAAAACAAGCCCTTAAATTCTTCCATCGTTTTTGTACAAGTTTACCTGAAAATAAATATTTAACTAGTATAAAACAGTCAGTCATTTATTTAATTTATGTATTTTTAACTTTAATTTTGTATTATGTATTTAATTTTCTTTTGTTTCAGATATCTTGCAACCGGCAACAGTTTTTACAGCATATCATTTGAATATTTGATAGGTGCCACCACTGCACGAGAAATTGTAAAATCTACATGTTCTACGATCTGGAATTTACATACACTAGGTATACATGCCTGAAAAGTCTGAAGAGGATTGGTATACTATTTCAAATCAGTTTTACCAACGGACAAATTTTCCGAACATAATTGGCGCAATTGATGGCAAACATGTGAGAATAATTCAGCCGGAAAACACCGGTACGCAGTGTTTCAATTACAAAAAGTACTTTTCTACTGTTCTCATGGCATGGGTAGATGCAGATTATAAATTTGTATACATAGATGTTGGTTCTAATGGAGCAGCAAGCGACTCCAATGTATTTCAGAATTCTGGCATGGGCAAAAGATTGCAGCAAAATCAATTGAGCATACCAGATGATCGTAATTTGCCATATGATGAAAATGGAAAAAAAATGCCATTTTGTTTGGTCGCTGATGAGGCATTTGGCTTGTCGAGGCATATTTTGCGACCATATTCAAGAAAATCATTGTCTACTGTAAAAAAAAATTAACAACTATCGCCACACTAGGGCACGACGCATGGTTGAATGCACTTTTGGTATACTTTGTAACAAATGGCGAATTTTGCACAGGCCGATTGACGTCAGTCTTGATTTTGCTGATATAATAGTAAAAACATGTTGTATTTTACATAATTTTGTACGGTGCAGAGATGGCATTCAATTTACTGACACTGTTTACGATTGTCCATTAAAAGGTATTGCAACAAATCCATCAGACAGAACCATATCAGCAGCAAATATACGTAATTATTTTGCGAATTAGGTACTTTACTTCACCACAAGGGGCTGTGTCATGGCAGTATGACAAAATCTGAACTTCACCTTTTTGTACAACTGTTGTTTTAGTTACAAATACTAAAAATAAAAAGATACTCACCAGCTTCAGTTTTTTCTTGTGACGACAACGTACCCCAAACTGTAGAAAATATTATACGACTGATTTCATCCCATGCTTTAATTTTCAAATTAGAATCTGAATACTCTTTCAGCTTTTATCGTAAATTAATGCTCTTTTTTCAACTTCTTCAATAAGTAAATCATTATCGATATCCTCTTCGTGCACTTTCACGTTTTGCGTAGACGTTGACGCCATTTTGCGTTCGCTAAAGACGACGGTCCGAATGCAAATGGCGGAAGAACTACGTGTTGAGTGACAATTTTGTTGCCCGTGCGCGCGCTGCTATAAAAACCTAGCGGCGTGGTGACAGTTTCGTCACGGGCTTGTCCGCTGGTCGGCGGACAAAAATGTCACCCAATTGTCACGTCGTAACGTGCGCGCACCTCCATATATACTAATAGACTTGATGTGAGTGACGAAACAGTCACGGTGACAAAAGTCACCGGTGCGCGCTAGCCCTTAGCTGTTATTATTTATCTATATATATATTTATATAAATCTTAGGCATATAAAGAGCTGGATAGTATTTAATTTATTAAAGACACACTTTTATAGGAACTAAACCGTCGACGAAATACGGTAAGCGTTATGACATATTCTGCGCTTATGACGTTTTAACATATCGATTGCCGGCATATTTTCATACAATGTCATTCCTATATTTTAGAAACCGCATGAAACGATGTTTTTTTAAGTTGGAAGTGACGCAACGTCAATTCATTGCTTACATATACGCCAACTAATAATAATGCTATCATTGCTACTCCATATGTTAAATATACAAAGTAGTTGATTATAGAAACAGATAAACATCGGCCATCGGTCAATAATCATACTTTACCAAACCTTTTTGTACGTAGTGCATATTTATATAGTGTAATTTTCAAATGCCATAATAGACATAATTCATTAACAAATTATTCGTTCTAGATAAAACAATAGTGCATCGAGTCCCTCTGCGCGGAATAAGTAAAATTTCGTAATGTGGAAATGAAAATAGGAAGCATTCACTCTCGCTCTGTCTCTTTCTATTCCCCCTCTCCAGGAGCGTTAAACGTTTAACGCAACCTTGTTGGAAGTCGCATTAGAAGTTTCACATCAATGAATTGTTGCTATTAGGATAGATTTATTTCTTCAAGGTTAATTTTAGCGTATATATGTTTTAACTTTTAACATTCAAATTGGTTCTTTTGTTATAAGGTAGGCGTGTAACTAAATGAGTTATTGCCGACAGGAAATCAACAATAGTAGCGGTAATAGGAATTAATGTAGTGTTACTACATATGCCGGCGATGTTCGCCTGATGGATGCTGAAAGTGCTGCCGAATTGCTTTGCTAAGTCTTTGCCATATAACAATTTCATTAAGTACATCGCAAGCGCGAATTTTCGGCGTACTCGGAGCTCGTTGTAGCCCATAAGCCAAGAATAAATAATTTTGTATCCGCTCCAACTAATACTTAGTTTTGTGGCTTAAATCGCGCAATTGTGTATAATGTACCAAATGACTTCTCACCAGCACACCATATAACACAGTAATGATATATTTTGTAAATCGTGAATATAGTGATTATCTCATTATAAAACCGAGATTTTATATAATTTTTGTAAAATCTATCTTATATGTTCATGAAACATCAATTCCAGCTTAAAAAGACGCCAAACTCTCTTACTTGCGTCACCCGTTTGACTGATTCCGATCCAATTGTATAATTGTATAGTATAGTTGCATTTGAAAGATCGCTCTGAAGATGGTCGCTATCGAAATTTTTTATATTTTTTAAACATCTTCAGGTCATCTGCTATACCTCAGGACCTTATTTTTCTTCTTTATTCTATAGCTAGTAACAGGTAGATACACTGTCTAACGTTATGACTTGAACGTACAGTCCTGTACAAAAGGGCAGAAGATATACATATTTAAATTATTCAAATTCAAAAGTTATTTATTCATTTTGGTACAATTTGTACACTTATGCAAGTTAAATATACGCAGATTTATTACGTCTTCTTATCGCATAAAAAAATTCTAACAAGCTATTGTCGTGAATAACTTTACAAATGATTGCATTTAATTATTTGTTATTGATGTTCTTATTATTATATAGTCAATAACTATTAATACATTTATAGAACACGACACGATATGATGGGTACTCACCTTCCCTTCTCTCTCATTCCAGAATTTGTTGCTATAAATTTAAGTTAAGCACCACCTAGTAAACAGTAGCGTTTAATATTGATTATGTCTAACACTACAAACGCTGGTTTGTTTTAATGCTATCTACCGACACCACTTATAGATTTTATACTATACCTGAGGCTTGAGGCAAAGTGATTTTTCGACAGGCGTGACCAACACTACACGAATTTGTATGAGAATGATATTACCTCACGCTTTGTCTCTGTTTGGCGTTAGTGGGTCACGCCTGTCGAAAAGTGATTTTGTCTCAAGCCCGTGATATTGTCTTTTGTTCTGGGCATGGTGGGTGCACAATATCTGACAGCCAACAACTGACGTTTAGATAAGAAATAAAACTAAAAACGCCATCGGCCATAAACTTAAATCTTTATTTCTTGATTCAATTCCAAATCTTGCTCTTTGTTCATGCCCCCTGGTACTTGGATAAGGATTTAGATAGTTCAATGTTCAAATATATAAAAAAAATTATGCGGAGAATTTAAAATTTTGATGCATCACGATTTAACTTAATACTCATTGAATTCGTATTTCGTTTGATTATGAGCGATTCCGAAGGAGTAGATCCACAGCTACAAGATTTCATTTTAACAGAAACACAAAAACAACGCTTCCAGGTATGTAGTGGAGTTAATTCTAATACTAATACATATTTTTTTAATATATTATCCACCAAGTTTTCCTTGATTGAAGAATCATACTTTTATTAAATTATTGTTAAGTGATAACAGCTAATGTAGTTTACTTAGTATTTTCCTCTTCCTACAATTTATATAACAATATGTGTGACAGTTTTCAATTTGTAGTGAAGTATAATTTCTATATAAAATCTTTTGTCCATTTTTTAAATTAACATTTTGTATTGTACACTTGTGCAGCTACTTTTTGGAATATAATTTAACTACCTGTTATGTTTTTTATGTCCATTATCATTAGTTATAACTGTTAACTTGTTATTTCAGGTTTTAGTACATGGCCTTACTGATACCTGCTGGGATACTTGCATGGGAAAACCTTTGAACCGATTGGACTACAGGACTGAAGTATGCATTATGAACTGTGTTGAACGTTTTATTGATGCTACCACTTTTATAACAAAACGGCTAATGAACACAACAAAATACCGCTCTGATTCACCTTTGGAATTTCAATAGACTTGTTCAATCCTATAAAAAATTTTAAGCATTTGAATTATATAGCTTGAAAATGTTTTCGACTATCAAAAATTTTTTACATCGTCATAGAAGAAAGTTTCTTGTGACTGGTGCAGTTTTAGGGTCCATTTATTTTCTGATGAGCTATGCACAGAAAAAACTAAGAGAATGGCAAGAAACAGAGGCCAAAAAATTCTTTGAAATGACAAGAAAGAAACAACACTTTGAAAGCACTGAGCGTACATGTAATCAAACAATACTGTCACTTTCAAAAATTGTTTCTGAAAATATTTTGACTTCATTAAATACTGAGGAAATTGTACAAAAACTACAAGACAACCCTGGAAACAAACTGGAATTATGGGAACAAATAAAAATAATGATTTTTACCAGAATATGTGTGCTTGTGTATGCTCTTTCAATATTACAAGTGACATTAAGAATTCAACTGAATATAATTGGTGGCTATTTATATAGAGACTCTGTATTAGAACATGAGCCACTGATTGATAGCAATTTGCAATCAAAATATTTGTCCTTGTGTCATCACTTTGTTGGGGCTGGGTTAGAGGATTTAGTAAGGCAGATAGAAAGGGTGGTTAAAAGAGTAGTAGACCCTATATCACTAAAAAAAAAAATAACATTACTAGAAGTTGAACAAACATTTTGGTCGATCCAAACTATTTTATGTACTGATACTAATGAGGGAGATCCTGTTAAAAAGATGGTGCACTACTTGGTAGATCACACAGAAATAAATGAGGCTAAGTTTGACACAATTGTTAAAGAAACAATGGATGTTTTGGAAAGTGATGAAGTTACGTCTGTAACTATGTCTACTATTAGTAGAAGTTTTTCCTCTGTTATAGATGAGATAGCTAACTTATTTGTCTCAAAGTGGGTACCAACATCTAAGAATCACTTAGAAGTGGATGAGGGTCATGTTGTTACTAATGGTGCTCTAAAATTAGGAGCCCCAGCAGATCCCTTTATAAATGTCAATAAGGTAGAAATGCATTTTGTAAAGCTCTTGCCAATTGTTAATGAGCTGATTACAAAAAATACATGCAAAGGTAATACAAACATTCCAGATTTACTTACTCAACAATTAACATTAAATGACAAGTTGAAGCTTCTAGGAGCCAACATTTATGAAGTCTTTAGCAATACATAAAACTATTAAGGGGCTTATTATGGTAAGGTTGGTTAATATTATAATCATTATATACAATTATATGTAAATAGGTTTAAGATTTGTTTTTGAATGCAGATGTGCTGTGTTAGAATCTTTAGAAAAATTCAATTTTTGGTTTCAATATTTTTTAATTTACTTGTGAATGGGTACATAATAAACGTTTGCAAAACCTAATCAATTTATTATTACATGTATGTAGCATATGATAGTCAAACATATCCATGAGGAAAAGGCATCTTACAAAACAATTTTTACTTTCTACATACACTCACGCCTTTTTCCCGGGGGTTGGCAGATGCCACGGATTTCCACTTGCTACCATGTGCCTCTCGCCTCCTCCACCTTCATGACATTCACCATGCATTATCATCCGTTATGGGTACTTTTGACTTGTCCCTTTTCTACTACAAGCTGGATTTGGTCCAGGTCCAGGTATGTTAGACTAGTCCTACCCAACCCGACCTCACCAACAAGGATTGCCTCGTAGATGCTACTAACTATATTTATTTTTTAATACAAAAAGTCCAAGATCCAGATATTTGTACAGCATCTAGTAGGTGGAATTTTGCGTTGTTTAGTTTGAAATTCAAACAACGAAAGCAGTCACAATGTTATAGACCATAACCATATTTTTAGTGCAGAACCTGGAATACGTATAACAGACACAATATCATATACAAAATGTTATAAATTTGATAAAACCCTCAAAAACGCCTATAACTTTTTTGCTGCAAAAACTTGTGAAATAGTCTGAGTAGAATGTAGGTCGTTTCTAAAATAAATTATATCTTTGTCATCATTAAGAAGCAATTAAATATTCCTATTAATATCCACTCATTCGTCCATTTAACGAATTTATCACACAGCTCAGCCAATATTAATCCAGTAGCGTTACCTTAATATATGGCCGCAGAATGGATCTGTTTTTAAATTATTTTTATTGACAAGTAGGTGATCAGCCTTCTGTGTCTGGCACATGTGGATTTTTGGGTCATAAGACATGCCAGTTACTCACGATTTTTGCCTTCACCACCAAGTGTAAATTGCGCATATAGAAAGAATAATTCATTGGTGCACAACCGTCAGTCGTACGCTCCACCTCGGGGTTAAGAGTCGCACACATAAGACTAGGCCAACACTAAACTTACCAGCAGTAATGCTGAAAGAGTGTAAACTGTAACGGTTTCACCCTTTCACTCGTTTAAATGTTGGCATTACTGACTTGACATCCTGTAAAAGGTTAATGCTGTAATTATGGCAAACGTTAATTATTGTCACCATCAAAATCTCGTGAAGATTCTTAATATTATAATCATTACGACAAAAGGCTATTAAACACTTACATTTAGAACATTATTTTTAAATATTTGTTTTCACGTTTTGCATAGACACATTATAATAATACTTAGTAAAATAAAGCATGCTGGTACGTAACTTATAACTAAATGTACAAATAAGTAAAAGATTATTTTTATCGAATCTGAGATTTCTATTTTAAAGCATAGCAATAAATATACGTTACTTCTTACTATGCTTTTCAAACAAACTAAAGAGTATATAATATTTGATTTTGGAAGGATGGCTATAATACCAGCCTAATTTGTTTGATTTGAACAAGTGTATAAAACCTCGGATATATTCACCACATTCGGTGGGGGGTTATCACTCAACGCTTATTACATATTAACGCGCCAGAGGTTGCCAATTGCTGGAGGTGTCGTATACAATATGTATGTACAGTTCTTTTTTTGTACCAGCCTGAAAGTACCAGTCTGAAAAGGTGGGAGCTTATAGTTTATTGTTTATCAGAATGCCAAATCATAAAATGACTGCTTCACGACTGATTTGAGAGCGACCGCCGATGCCAAAACCGCTGTGTGAGTTCGAAAAGTGAGTTACAGAATCGCAGGGCTGTTCGTGTGTATCGTTTCTGTGATACAGTTGGAAGAACCTAAATCATGGAACTACATCGTACGTCACAGCGTCAATGCAGTGTGGCTTGCGACGAAAGGCAGAGGGCAGGTAATGCGCGCGCACGTAGCCGCGCCGAATCGTGCTGCCAATATTTCACCGTAGAACGCAGAGAGCGCGCGCCACACGCGGTATCGACGAAAATCAAATGTGTATCACACCCGTTGAACCCGTTGAATAAAAATTGATGTTCAGTGCGTTTCACCAGTGTAAACATCGAAGAGTCTCAGCTGGATAACAATATTTAGGATCGTACTTCTTGTAAGTTGATTTCAAAATAAATTTTTACATCAATAAGTATCGATATATGAAAATATATTACCATGTTAAATCCTTGGAAAATAAGGCTAAATAGTTATCAGTAAAGGAAAGGTACCTATCGATAAGCAGAAATATTCTATAAGATAAATACTACCTACATAGGTACTAACATGGAACTAATTAACATCGTATTGTCACAGCTGATAGTACCTTAATAAGGCTAGGCTGTTTTTTTAATTATTTAAGCAATCAATCCAATTTGATAGATAATTACTTATAATATCTAGACAGTATAATCAATAGCAGCCACAATTTTAACCGGTTTTAAAAAACTGAAGTAGGTAGGTTTGGTATTCGGCGACTATTTTCTTTATTTTGTACTATGCTGGTAAAGCCTTAGCCACGGTAGATTTACATATGGCAAACACCTATCAAATATACTATGTATGTGAGATAAACGCAGCGTACCATTAGACTATAAGACAGCAGACTTAACTCCAAAATTACCTTGTAGTCCAGATATAAATAAATTTGAAATGAGAATTAACTAGCATCGTATAATCGATAAAACTTTAAAACAGCAACAGTATAATTATTTAATAGTACAGCGTGTATGTACCATACACCGGTAAATAGATAACAAAAATGCTCATTATTTTCAAAAAAAATGTAATTTTAGAGCATAATAAATATATTACCAATAATGGTTTGCGCCAAAATTTATTTAAAAACTACTACAATATTACCTTACATTATCATAATAATGATATCCATATCACATATTGCACTGCTAAAGTTTTCAGTTTAGTTCGAAACATACATTTCATTACAATTTGTTGCTGAAAAGCACTCGATAAAATAATGCCCGATTATATCCGAAATATAAACAAAAAACGTCAGGTATGAAAAAGACATCTGATTTCTAACTCGTCCGCCCCATCCTAACTCCCCTACTTAATTACTATTGCTAATAAATCAATATTTTATTATCATCTTTATCTATATGTAAGATAAGCCTAACCTTTTTTAATGGCAACCCCTAAAGTTAGCAGTGCAGCAGATCAAGAAGTTGCTGAACCTTATCATATCAAATTGTGCATGGCCCATGATAAAACAAACTATATCACACGCACCTGTAAAAGTGTCTATTGACTTTTAAGGCAGACTTTAATAGATTTATTGTAGCTGAAACAAATCGATTCCGATATGGTATGAAATTAAATATAGTTTATATAAAAAATTAAATGTGTAATTCTTATCTCGCTGTTATTCATGCTATAAATTATATTTGGCATTAAGTAAATTTTTTTATATGTATAGATAATGTACTATGGCTTTTTAGTCTACTGGCGTACTGATGGCCTCTGAATCAAGACGGCATCATCTATGCCGATCTTGCGCTACTGCTTGCCATTTAGCCACTTGGACTTCGAATAGACCTTCACAGCGTCTACCCAGCTATATCTAAACCAGCCAGTTGCCATTCCCGATATATGCTTTCTAGACACTCCAATGACGTTCACGTTTCACTCACGACGATCTGTCTAACTGAGTTTGGGCTTTGGCTTAACCTATGACGTCGATTTAACTAACAAGTACTCGTTACATACGTAAATAATAATACTTTAGGTAAAATAGCATTGCTAATATTGTCTTATATTATGCATTTTGTTCACTAGATATTATTATTAAATAATTATAATTGCCTTTCATAGTTTTCGAAGTTATAACATACCAATAGTATCTATTTTATGTTACTAAAATTTTACTTTCGTTAAATGTAATCAATGGGTATCAAGTAGATGCCACGAAATCAGAACTTTTTTGATCGATCTAGTTTTATCGTCAATAATGTGTTTTCTGATATCACCAAAACAGATTTTCAATACACTTATCGTCGTTCGTATATTATATCGCGTTTCAGTTAATTTTAAATGAGTTGAATTTACTATCTACGTCAATATTTTGATTAATGTTCATGTCCAAACTCCCAAAATTCTCATTCATGGTAGTTAGTAGAAGCTCTTGACTAGTTTACTAAATAGATAAGGACTGTGATGAGAGGTTTGCCATGATTCTCTATTCTGAAGAAGTAGCGCGCATAAATAACCTAAAACTATGTTAACCTTGTGTGAACTGAAACAAAAGGAAATACGACCCTGACATTTGAGGAGTGTCTGGCCCTCTGTCCCTCGTACCAGCCAGAATAAGCATTTAACTTTAAACATTTTACATTCTGAACAAGCAGTGTGGAAATCTAATTTAAGTATAAAACAATTGTTTAAATTTCGAAAATCACCTCAACCTCAATAATTAGCCAATTATTATAAATTCCATATTCATCTCTACTAGCATAAAAATCGCAATATTTCGTAAAGACAAACGCACCGTTTATTCATAATTATATACATTCTATAATATAACGTGGAATAACATTAGTTATAATTCTAAGGAAAAGAATATGAATGGGTTGGACTCTAATCGTCAAATATTTACTTTTATGTTATTTTTTTAAATAAATATATTATTAGCTATTTCCCCGTCTATGTTGTCGTCAGAGGTATTAAATAACTTACGTATATGTACAACTAAATAGTTTTGGTAACCAGGATGATTAAGCACTACTACCTATTTCTCTTAACAACTTTTACTATAACATTTACAACAAATTCCAAAAAGATGCCTCTTAACCTATTGTTGGACATTATTTCTTTTTTCGTTCGTTACTTTTATTCCCATAGTTGTTC